GGTACAGCTAGTTTTGAATACATACATAATTTTGAATTCATTTTGAACCACTACAACATCTGTGTATCATGGTATGATCCCCACAAATTTAGACCATGTACCTGTACCATAGATGAAGTAATATTCATCTCTGCTGTACTATAACATTCGCTGTTACAGTCTAATCATCCTTGGATCAGCTAACCTGTTTATATAGAGTTTTTTTGTTTACTATAGCTATCTACTGGCATTTACTTTAATATATTTCAACCAAATACTTTACCAAACAAGTGAATTTCACTGTCTTGATTATTGGATTGGTACATTAAAGTCGACGATATAGACCAACTGCAACCAATTTTGATCCTAGGGTAGCTTTTTGACGCTTCGAAATTAGAACCAGTTTTAATTGGCTGGTTAAAAAAAATCAGTCTTGCTAAATAAAAAACGGCTGATCGTTGTTAGCAAAGCTACATATCCATTTTACCCAGTTATCCTGCGACACTGCATTCCTATTCAGGTAATAATACAAGTGTAGTTATTGTGTGAGAGATTGTAGCAAATTTATCGTTCAATATATCAAACCACAAGGTTACCGCTTCGGTCATGAGAAAGAACATACTCTTTTTAAATTAAATGGTTCGAATCTGAATCCGGATATCATTGACTAGCTTTTACTATTTGATTCTTGATAAAGAAAACAACTTATCGTAGTCGATAACAATGCTGTCGTCTGGATCTCAATCATTCAAGGCTTATAGTTTACACATATTCGCTTAAATTACGCACCATGGCTTGCCGGTGTCGCAAAAAACTTGTTTAGCCTCAAAAACATTGTATATTTTTACAAATGACAATCAACTGATACTAATGATGTATGTGGGGCGGAGACACGGTCTGGTGAACAGTAGGCGTGGTTCATGTCCAGTTAAATGTTTAATTGTTGGTTTGACATGTGATTCATTGTCGCACTCTGTTGAATTCAACGGTCGGTGACATTTTTCTATAACCCAGGAAATGTATTCCAGTTGGGTTGAATCTGATATTGTCTCTTTGTAGAGTTATTTTACACGTTTGGGTCTTTTAATTTCTGTGGTGTTTTAAGTGCCCTGTTTTTTTTCACGAATGGTCACTCTAGTAATTTAATCAGGCTGTTTTATAAACTAGCACTATTTTACTGTTTGTAAGGATTAGGCTCGTAAAATGACTTTACTGGAGGGAGTATAGCGAACAAACCTTTTTGGTTTACTTGATAGATGAATTCATGGGTTAAGTTGAAAATAAAAGAAGGGTGTAAGTGTAAGAAAGAAGTGTAAGGGACACTATATGTGTCTTTAAAAAACACATTTTTTGTCGTTTAGCATGTTACTGTAGACTTTTTAAGAATCTGGCAAAATATATCAAACTTGTTTGTATAACAAGGCATATATTTTATTTGCAATATTTGTAAAATGCTTGTAACAATGTTTATTTGATGCGAAATAAAGAAATTTTGATTTCGATTTTTCCGAACATTTGTTAGGTTAAGCCATAGAGCAAACACATTTCTTTGTGGGTTTTTATCCTTACTTAGCTGTTAAAATTGATTGTAGGACAACCTTTCCCAGGGTCTCCTGGCCAAGGGTCGGTCGTAAAATATTATTGCGGGGGCGGCCAACCTGTCCCAGGGTGCATGAGGATTAGTGCTGGGACAGGTTGGCCGCCCTAGCCAAAATATTTAATGGCTGACCCTAGACTAGTAGAACCTGGGACAGGGGTTGAAAGTAGGTAATCATAAGATACCAGTACTTAACTGAAGCATGCATAAAATTGATATTTCTAGGCTGCAACATAAGCTTCGAATACAAGTAACAATACTTTTAAGGAATATCTTAGCGTTTCCGGGATCAAACAGCAGGACTACAAATCAAACACGGAGAACACAATATGTTGCAGGGACTAAAAAATTAATTGTCAGCTTGCTCATTGCGCTTCTTAACAATCAAGTCATTGTGAAAACCTTGGTAAAGTAGGCCTATATTAAGTTAGTGAATGTAGGCTTTTTCATTTACTTTTAATTTACGAAGAAAGTTAAAAAAATGAGTTTTTAAAATTCCTACGTAATTATTATAGAGAATATTGTAAAATGATGTAGTTTGCTTGTTTATGGATATATTTTGATATATATTTATTGATATATTTTTTACTTGGCAAATTAATTTTTTTACGAGGCTATTAATATTTTACAAAAAACACTTTATTACCCTCCCTGTAGCAAAAAACCTAGGTACTTGTTAATCCTAATGTTATTTAAATAGATTTAATTGAAAATCCTACGAGGCACACGGAAATTAGCTTAGTCTGCAGGTATGCTGCGGCGGGGTATTTATTTGCCACTTAAATTTCATAGGACACAACTTCATAATAGATACGTTATTAACATTTTGCATTTATAAAATTGATAAGTATGACGATTTCATAGGTGTTTTAACAGATTAAGATCTTATGTCAACTTACTAACGATTAACAAAATTTATAATATAGAGGATACGTGAATGTATATTTTACAGAATAACAAGTATGTTGATAATGAAGTAGAAATGTTATGAATATGCACCAAATGTAGCATTTTTTTATAAAATTGGACATAATTGAATAAGCCACTAACAGATTGTGCTACGGCCTATACACCACCTGTCCTTAGTTATTGGAAGTGATATATTTCATTTGATAAAAAAGATGCTATAGCTTACAATAAGTCTTTCAAAACTTCAAGACCTAAATAGCTTGTATTAGGTCTACCGTATAAAAGAGGATAATATGAATAATACGTCTAATATAAAATGTGTTTACAAAATCAATTAAGATAAATTGTCTCATTTCCATACAAGATCTGCATTATCCTATTTTTATGTTAATTTAAAGTTTTAAACGTCATTAGTGCAGTCAAACGTTTTGAACATTACACACGTAAAATAGACTTAATATTTTACTGTGGGACGATAGTTATTTGTGCAACTAGTGAGCAAAGTGAGCAATTGACTCACTCGAGAGAAATCCTTACTTACGAGCTGTAGGCGAGTGAGGAATGGTTTCTCGAGTGAGGCAATTGTACTTTGCACTCGAGTTGCACATTATATTTTTCCTACGGTTACCATAAAACAAATAAATTAGTGAATAAACGTAACATATTTTTACACAGAAGTGACTTTTAATATAACATTTAATGTGAAGTGACAAATACAACAGTACAACAGCTGACCAGCTGATTTACAGCCAGTGCTGCCAACGTATTTCGCGCGCATACAACCTTGTCTGCATGTTACGCGCTCACTATTTCGTGCGTTCACGTTGCAAATCTGGAGTGAGACAAAGTAATTAGAGTGAGACAATGTTAACATTGTCTCACTGATGAGCGAATTAGCCACTTTGCTTTCTCAAATCAGTGAGAGAACATGTACATTGTTAAGTAACTGTAGGAAAAATATATTTAAACACTGTTTAAAGTCATTAATAGCTCACGTTTCTAGTATATTTAGATAATAATTGATTTGACTTTTTGTTCGATGTTTTCCTTTTTCAAATCGCATAAAAAATATCACAAATAAAATCCGTAAACGCTAACAATTCCTTAAGGGAAATAATATTATCTTCCAGTGCATCGCAGTGCAAATGCTAGAAATATAATCCATTGCATCCCCTGTCACCCATCGTCAAACTCGATGATAATCCTGGCAGCAGGGGCGGCCAACCTGTCCTACCCCGACCCCTCATTAGTGATGGGAATGGTTGTCCATCCCTGCAAAACAGGCCAGAAATTCGCAGGTCAATTTTAACCCTGGGAAAGGTTGTCCGTTTCCCGTTAAAATTAAGGCATCTTTCTGTCCGACACAGATAGACTCCGTTATTGTGTTTTCTATTTAATTTCAAAACTTGTTTTAGATTTTAAAACTAACACAAATGAATTGATATATTTGTGAATTATGGCTTGTCCTTAGTATTTTAACAGGAAGACATAGCGCACATTCATTTTACATTTGATGACAATGTAAAAGCTATTTAGTTTAAAAATTCATCAAAATAGTCATGAGATTTCACATTTGGAAGATAATCTCATTTAAAGTCATTGACTAAAGGTTATTGTGAAATAAGGGCAACTCATTATTTATGTATTTACACACAGTTTAGGACCTAACTCGCCTTCTGCCACTCAAAGTTATTGACTGTTATTGGCAATAACTCATTCTTTATGTCTGTGTTTGACTTCGACCGTCTATTAAACTGTTTACTGCTTGGGACGATTGTTGGGGTTGGGAAAAACCATAAATAATGTAAATTGCAATAGATTTGACCTAAATATAACCCTGCCACCTAAATATAACTGCTAAAAGAATTTCAAGTTGTATCATTGCATTTTTATCACACACATTCATTCGTCGGAAGGAAAGTTAATCTCTAAAATTGCGTCTTATAAAATGTGACCAATGAATATTACTACAATATGGGTTGCTTAATGGAGCGGACAGGTGGCTGTGCATTTTTAAAATTATAAAGAAATACTTAGCTTTTTGTGTATTAAGAGCATAATGACTATTTGTGCTCGTAATACACACAAGATTCTTCCTACCATAATTAACTTATTCACAGATTAACTTTTTAGTTGTATATAAAATATCATTTAGGTTATGGTCATTTGTTTACCGGTAACGTACCAGTCACCGAATCCGCGGCTGGGGTTCGTCTAGAAACGCCAACAGTAAAATCAGCTAAGCATGCGGTAATGACCGATTCCCGCTCTAGAGTGTAAAAGAGCAATTTTGCGTACTGTTTGCAGGTTTGCGAGAAAATGAAAGTTTTTGATGTTTCGAAACTGGACTCAGTTGTACTTCGGTGATAAGCCCTCTGGAACTGTTCTATGTTTGTGTTCTCTGCGACTTACATATACAACCCTTATGTATACATTTCACCATGTTTAAATGTGTGTTTTTCACCATGTTTAAATGTGTGTTTTCACCATGTTTAACGTGTCTGTTTGTCCACAGGGCCGGCGCCGGCAGAGACACCGGGGGACGTCTCGTTAAACCTGGTCTAGAACAGGACCTGGGCCTCGACAAGAAGCCACCGACATCCCCCAGGTATGTAGTACGTAGCTCAAGTTTTACTGGAATTACAGGGTGTCCATATGCTGGAAAGTCAATGATAGTCATGGAATGTCATGGGAAACAAATTCTGGTCATTGAAAGTCATGGAAGTAGGCAAAAAGTCATGGAAAGTCATGGAAATCCCCAATGGTGGATGGATTTGAGGGGACATTTCAATGCTACAGTCGGCTGTAACACAGACTATTGTAGTATTTTAAAGATTTTTCACAAATGTACGACAATTAAATTTATTACAGTTGTATTAGTTTATGCGTTTTGAGTTTGTATTAGTTCAATACAATCTGTCCCTACTTTAGCTTGTAATTAGTGGTTAGAGCGCAGGACTCCGGTTCCAGATGTCCCGGGTTAAAATCCCGCCAAATCGCGAATGGGTTTTATGCCGTAACCCCTAGGTCTAGCCTGAAGTACCTAATGTGAAAAACAATCCCGGGCTCGTGCCTAGCGTCCTAGGAAAAAAAACTTTATCTTGTAATTTAATTTAATATTTGTAGGACATTTTTGCAACAGTAGTATGTATCAAAATGGTACAACTATGTTATTACAACTCAAACTGCAATACAAATACTGTTATAATGTTTTAAGCTGTGTTAAGTTAAGCCTTTTCTAACTAAGCTAAATTTTGTTAACACTGTAAACTCAATAAAAATATATAATAAAAAGTATATAGTAAGGAAAAAAGAAGGCGGAGAGAGAACTTGCCAGCTTTTGGGACGGGGAGGCTGGGGTTTTTTCCTTCCTCATTTTTGAATTCCATATTTATGCTAAACATTTAACTCTATTGTTGTCTGTTTAAAAATATTTCAGTATTTTCTGTGAAATAACTTGTCTAGGCAGTATTATTGGAGTGTGTATGTTGTATTATATTTTTCGAGTAAAGTTCGTGAGTCATGGAAATCGGTAAATGGTCATGGATAGCCATGGAAAGTCATGGAAATTAATGACAAATTTTCTGTGAACACCCTGAATTAAATCATAGTAGAGCTGTTATTCAAAAGATGCTGGGTTTTTAACGCTTCCAAAAGTACACTTACTTAGAGAGTGCATAGAGTCGTATACACGGACAAATGAATGTTTATGTATCCAAATTTGTATTTGTTTACGCAACAACGAATTCAAGTTCTATCTCAATTTATGATTTGCTCAGACTTGATTCAGAATTTAAACCTAAGTACAGTAATTCGGAGACTGATTTAGGCCTAAATTGTTTTTTAGAACCTGAACTAAACTTTTCACAGAAGTAGATCGATACATTTAGTTGAAATAGTCGTAATAAAATAATCTGTTGTGATTTAATAATTGTATTTGGTTTAATATCTATTATCATCTTATTGGGTTTACTCTAAACCCACCCATCTACTCTCACAATTAAATTATACTCTGTTCGATAAATGTTGGAAGTTTGAAGAGTGGTTCCTCTACCACTTTTTTTTCTTAATGTTAATGTTAGCTGATCGACGTTTTGACAAACCTCAGATGTTGAGCTATTTGTTTTAAAATTAAAAGGTAAGATCAAGTGGAGAAGATAAGTTTATTCCCTAAAATCGTCTAAATTTTGTAACCGGCGTATAACATATTGTATTTTTTCCAGACAAATCCACCCTATATGCGAAGAGAAGCTGCACTTGGCCTATGAGAGTACAGACACCCCCACGCACCCTGGTGGCGGGCCTTTGTACCCTCTGGCTCCCAACATATGTGTGGAGGGTGGCAGGATCGAGTTCATAAAGTCGCCACCGCCCTGCGACAGCGCTAGTGTCGACCTCAACAATGACGGTGCGAGCCCTACGGAGAAAACTGACATTGCTAAGGTTAGTTGACGAGTTGGCCGCTAGATTGGGGTAGTAGTGTTGTTTATGTGTGTCAGTATTTATTTTGTAAGAATTTTATGTATCTCACTTAGCTATACAAATATTGCGTTATTGAAAACAACCTGAATATTTTTTGACAATCTAGATACAATAATGGAACGTTAAATCAACAAAGTATTATTTTTGGTAACTTTGTTTTCTATATTTTAAATTATTACAAACAAGAATTATATTATAAAAACTAGCTGTTGTACCCGTGCTTAGCAACGGGAAGAGAACACAAAATAGAAACATTTTGATCTTTACATCCGTTAATAAAATAGTTACACATAAGCCTTTTAAAAACCAAATTTAACCTTATGGCCTTTATAGGATAAATGTTGTCATAAATGTAAAAGAAAAATAGTACTGCACCCTGTTGGTAAACCTTGTAACTTTTTAATGCTATTCAATATCATAGAACCAACTTGTGTAGTTGAAACAGCTGAAAAAATGCTTTTATTCCTTTTAAGTATGATTACTCATAAGGTTAACATGGGAAACTCCAGAGCCACTGGGGCGGAGCTCGAAAGGACTTTTGAGATAAGAATGCGTCTATATGTTAATCGGGAATGTGAGCTATTATCATACCAAATTTCAGCCCAATCCGACCAGTATTTTTCGCGTTTTTTTGTCACAAACATACATCCATACATCCAAACTTTATCATTTATAATATTAGTAGGATATATCAAGGGAAAATGCTCTATACACGTTTAACCAAACCAGCAAGGACAACATTTAATTCCAACTGAACATTTCCCTTTGATTTTGTTGATTTATTGAGTGCGATTCGAGTAACATACAATTGCCAACTTTAATCGATTACTTCGAAATAATAACCATCCAAACCCTATTGTGATGATCAATTCTGCATTTTAAATCATAAATGCAGTACTACGATATATCAGTTTAATCTTAGAACTCAGTTCAGAAGAATATTATGCAGTTACAACTGTTTTACAATATATTGTTTTTTAACAGCTACAATAGATTAAACCTTTTTAATTTCGATTCACGCATTCTGTCTTTCGCCTATCCAAAAGAGGGTTTACTAAACATCTGCTATTTATTATAAACTATTTTATTTTTCGGGTAAAAAACGTTAACTTGCATATTGAAGCAACTCGACCCAATCCAACCGTGGTGTCAAAAGCTTGCGTTTAAGATAGTATTGTTACTAATGTAATTTGACATACTAACAAATTAAAATACTATAACAACTACTGTAAAAAAAGAGATGAAAACACAGTGTTTTAATTTTTTTACCAGAGAGCAATTGATATATCCTTTTAAAAGTTTCTCATAAAAATTGTGTATGTCCTCGTAGTGTGGCTACGAAAGGGTTTAAAGGAAAATAAACAAAAAACCTGTTATATTTATTCAACACTAGCAGAGTACCCGTCCTTCGTATGGGGTTGGCATATAAGTTTAAATTGCTTATTGCATTTATACTCAAGCTTTGCGTTTGCAATAAGGGAGGACAAAGTTTGATAAAATTTGCTTCTATAAATTGACGGTATGGTATTACACATCTACCATAGCCATAATGTTCTACCTCTTCGCCTAAACAATAAAGAAAAATAAAGTATTACAAATTTAAAAAATCACAAATAATTCATGACATTAAACACATAAACATAACTGTAAACAATCCTACTTTGACAGTTCTCATTGCGAATCACAGTTTTTTGTTGCTGCTTAGTTCAAATTAGCTGTTTTTCATAAATTAATGCAAAAAAAATATAGTGCTGCACCCTGTTGGTAAATCTTATAACTTTTTAATGCTTTTGTATATAATAGAACCAACTTTTTTAGTTGAAACAGCTGACTAAATTCTTTAATTCCTTTTAAATATGAACTAGAGGTCGTCCAGTGGTCGAAACTCGACCAAAAATATATAATGTACAGACTTCTCTATTTTCACCCCACACTGTAAATAAAACATGTGATTGGCATTTCTTCTATTTGTTTTGATTTTCTGTTTATATTTCGTTGTTATTTCGTCACCAGCATGACAACCCATAAAGCCCATGTTAATTTTATTCAAATTTCAAATTCATTTTTTGTGCTTATTTCTGAGCCTATTTTAATTTTTAAAGGGTTTCTGCACACCTACAGAAAAATATCTTTCTAACGGTATGCGTAGATTTTCCCTGCGATGCACACGAGCTGAGAAAAAAGGTTTTAAAGAAACATGCTTGCCTATTAATATATAGATAGATACTCATAAGGTTAACATGGGGAACTACAGAGCCACTGGGGCGGAGCCCGAAGGGATTTTTGATATAAGAATATGCCTATCTATATGTTAATCGGGAATGTGAGCTATCATCATGCAAAATTTCAGCCCAATCCATCCAGTGGTTTATGCGTGATTGACCTTCAAACACACAAACAAACAAACACACAAACTTTCACATTTATAATATTAGTAAGATAAGACAAGATATAAAACACATAAATATAATTATAACAACACATTGAAGCTGTATGTACTACTTAATGTAAAAGTTAATAGTATAATTAATACTTAATAGTAAATAGTTTTTGCGTCCATCCTGAAAAAGCAGAAACAAATAAGCTAATATGACAAAAACATTTTCTTCCTAACACAGAAAATATATATTTGCTACAATCGCACAATATGTTCTAAATCTATATATTAATCTCGAAGGAAACTCCAGAACGTAACTGACCTTTGAATGGAGAAAGTATTGGAACGATTATTTCGATTTTAGGCTGACATTTCCAGCAACACCATAAGAGGCATTGCGGAGGCATAATTATTACCTGACTTGTATCTGCCGAGTGAAACCAACAACCAAACATGGAGACATGATAATCTTAATGATCCGGACGATATTTGGAATCACCTTAGTTTTTTGTGGTGTTAATTTGTTGGTCACACATTTGAGTATAGATAGAAGTATACGTACTATAACCTTGTATATAATGTAAAAGAACTAATATTAAGCTTGTATGACGAGTTGGATAAGTGGTAGTGCGCGTGGCTTCGGTCCCCGAGGTCTTGGGTTCAAATACAGCCAATCACCTATATATTTTTGCTATGTGATGATGCTAAATATTAGGTGCGGTCTGTGTTAAGCGGATTTAGAATAAAGTCTAGCATCTTAAGATGTGAAGGAAGCACAACAAGTAGAGTAAGGCTGCCTATTATTGATTTCTGTTACATTTTGCAAACGTTAAAGGATTCCAAACGACAAAGGTAATGGTGAAAATTTATGCTCGAAAGTAATTTAACCCGCGAGAAAATCGTTTTTTTAAGCATTGTAATAATCAGTTCGTGTATAGGCCTAGTTTTTATATCATTATCTATCAGTTCCGTAATGTTTTTTGAGATAGTTTTATCCATTACAAATATATTTTTTGACGTGTTTCCGTTATCATTTAAGTATACTTGTTATTGTTCACATCACGGATCAAATTATGAGTTATCCAATGAAACGTATACAAATAAGAAAACTAAATCAATACAAATTATTAGAATTATTGTAAATACGTTCTACCAACATATTCAATAAAATCATCGTAATCCTCTTGAATTGTATATTTTTTACGGGTTTCATTACATTATTTGTTCATTAAGTGCTTGGTAGTTTTATCATTTTACTATAAATAACATTACATTTATCAAATACAATAACAGAGTGATTTGATTTTGCATCGGGGTCTCTTAGGAATAAAGTAATAACATTGATTATATTTAGTCAACTATGGGCTGAAGTCAGTGTTTACATACATAAATTAAACAAGCAAATATTATTAAATTTTTTCATTCCAAAACATGTAATGTTGAAGTGGATTGCCTTGGATAATTAATATTGTCACAGTAAGGTCCTCGAGCTGTAGATGTCAGTCGAGAACAAAGGAATGTCAGAAGAATCTTCCTAATTTGGAATTCGAGAAGACCCGGATATTAAAACTGCCCTTCGTCTTGGAATTGCAACAAAATAATTAGATTTTACAGTTCATGAAATAATTTTTAGTTAAAAGTCTATGACTTTTACTAATGGAAATATAATGATTTAATACAGGAGAGTGTAGATAAAAGAATCGTAACTTGATGGGTTTTTATAGCGATATTCGTTAATACAGAGTTATATTTTTAGTTTATATAGTAAAATGAGAAGTAAATGATGAAATGCTGCAAAATAAAACCATATTGTTAATTGAACGATTTAAATCAGTTGATAATTAATCAGAGTTAAGATTTTTAGTTTTTAAAGTACAATGAGGACATAATTTATTGCTGTGAAATTAAGTATGTCGATTAACAAAGAACAGCTTTAAATCAGTAACAAAAATATATCTAAAATTAAAGTAGAAATACTACTGCTATATATGTACTCAATGGCATAGTTATATAAAATATTGCATTGAATATAATTATTGGTAATCATTATTGGAGGTTTGAAAGTTTTTGCTTTTTCAAGTGACGTTACTGTTTCTATTTAATTTTTGTTACTATCAGTAAAAGCTACAACGAAATAATTTTTTTCTTTTTCATCTGTTAATACTCTAAGGGGGGGGGGATACCAAAAATGTTTGCCTTGTTTAGCTTTTGAATGTAGACATAACAACGAGATCAACAAAAAAAGAAAAATCTAATTTTGTATAATTTTCTACAAAACAAAACAAAAACAAATTAAATCCAGACATAATCTTTGAAGATAAAAAATTTCTTGGTTTAATAATTGATAAAAATCTACCCTGGGACAAACATATTGATCATCTTATAAAAAAAAATTTCTTCCGGAGTATCCGCTTTAAGACAAATGTATAAAGTTTGCTGCGTAAAAACATTAATATCAATATATTATGCCTTAGTCCATTCTAATTTAGCTTATGGAATCAGTATATACGGAGCAACTACATCAAAAAACTTGTTTAATTTGTAAAGGAAAGATTCGGTATAACATCTTTTTACCGATCTTGGA